CATTCTTTGTTTTATAAGTAGGCTTTCGAGACTACCAGTAGATCGTATATATGAAATGTATTCACCCTTTGCGTTTAAGGTGATAAAGAAACTTGCAATTATATGAGTGTGCATTACTTTTACACTGAATTCAGCATAGCCTCGCTTCGCAAAAACTATTTTTATTCAAAGTAACCTGCAGTTTCGCACTGGCCTAGGTCTCAGCCGCAATCCCAGCGAGACTCGAACTTTGATTGTGCAACGTATAATCTCGACACGTTAACCATTGCCCACATTGCTACGAGTCTCTTTGGGTCACAGGGCAAATGCACATTTCAAGGAAAACCAGGCATTTTTCCTATCACATTCTGTGGTGAGATTGTCGATGAAGAAGAGTTGTATTTTTTATAGTAATCGAATACACTACTTAGTTTACATTTTATAAGTAGGTTTTCATATCATTGCGCAAAAATTTAACTACCAATTCCCTTATTCCTTTTAAATTAAATAGAGTGAATACACCTCATATAAGTTGTAATTCGATGCTAAGGCTGGCGCCTCTCAATGATACGGTCTACCGCGATGTCGGCAAAACGTCTATTAATGTACCAAGTCATGAGCACAATGCTGGAAATCATCATGACCACTCTAGCAGGATTAGGTACGCTCCTCGAGGTTTTCTTTTCACCCGAATAAGTTTTGCAAACGAGGTCATATCAACTTTACCTCGCAGCAGCAAATATTAAAATAACTAAAATGTTATTGAATTATATGAATAAATACTTTTCATGACAATCAAAGACGTGAATGAGGATGCTTCGTGAGTTAGTATAATCAGACGACTTATTTTCCATGGTATTATTTCTCCGAGGATATAGGCAATCCAGGAATGAGTAATTGAATTGGCCTAACTGGACTACGTCGAATTTCTCACAATGCAATCGGTAGACCTCACTACTATTACCGAAGTTAAATAATGCTGTACGTTGAACTGACAAATACACATTTTTCTCATTTACACTCACACTTTAACTTAAATATAGAATAGTACCGGCCTATATTGACCATCACATTTGTCCTGTGGTTCATCCGACAACTTTATAATTATTTTTGTGTACGTATTCTCTGAAAGGTAAAGATTTATTACTATTTTAGCTACCTACTCTAAAGGAATATAAGTAACATGGTTTAATGCAATAGCAAAACACAAATTTACCCCATCA